CATTGTATCCTTTTAGCTTGGAAATGTGGGTACACAAGAAGAAGATACATTTTCCATTTAAAGGAAAAATTTTAGGATTACTTTACCCTGTAGTATTATCCAATCTACATCAAAATGATAACAATGCTCTTAGAAGAAGCCCTTGTGTTTTTAACATATGATGATGCTGTAATCAATATTATTTCTATCTAAATAAACCCCTTCTTTAAGCCACAGCTCAAGTCCCATCCCTATAAAGCCTTTGGAAACTACCCAGGCATATCATCTTCCTCCTTTGCATTCTTTCTATAATTTAATTCAGCAAAGATCTACTGAGTATCTTTGGGTGTAAGACAATAAACCAGGTGCTCTGGGACTAAGCCACAGCCTACTTTGTGTGTGTGTGCGCGTGTGCGCTTTGGATATACATTTACAAAGCAAATTTGTTTTACATTCAACAGTTCGTGTACATTTGATTTCACACCCCGATTACCCCAACCTAAAAAACTCTCCTACCCCCATTTCCCTGTGACTGCCTCCTCCTTTTGCCCTTCTTAACTAGGCATTCCTGTCTGTCCAGCTTCCTGCTACATAAATGCTGCCCCTCTGGTGTCTCATGGCTGATTGATCTAAGGGGTGCCTCTCCCGAGAGTATGTGGGTGCATTGCCCTGGGGTTGGGTTCTGCATGTAAGTCTTTCTACTATTGGGCTGATAGCCAATCCACGGGAGTGAGTCCAATTCTAGGTGCGAAGGGTAACCCGGGGCCATAGTCTCAGGGCTTCCACCAGCCTCCATCTGACCAGCAAAACTGGTCATCTTTGAGTCACAGCCTATTTTTTAGGAGTTACCACCCTAGTAGAGGAGAGAAAAACGTACAACTGATTATGATTAGCAAAATGGTACAGTGGTTCAAATCCACCAGCCACTCCATGGGAGAAAGGTGAGGCAGTCTGCTTCTGTAGGTGTTTACCAGAGGGTTGATTTCAATCCAGGTAACCTGGGAAGTCTTCTAGAAGCAGCTGTATTTGAAGGACTACTACCCTGGCAGGAGCTCTGGTAGCATAGTGGCTAAAGGCACTTGACGCTCACAGAAGGCTGGAGGTTCAAACCCACCAGCCACTCCTCGGAAGGAAGGTTGGGCAATCCTACTTCCGTAGTGATACTGCCTCGGAAACCCAAGGAGGGGTCACTATGAG